TTATTAAATTTATATGCCACCCTTCATCTGAAGACCACAGGGCAGTTTAAGGGTATAAAAATGCAACAGTCACACTTGCTTAGTGATAAACAGCCAGCCAGCCCCCGTGCACACACACACTCACACTTGCAGAGTCAAGGGCTTCCCGCGGATGTTGCACACAAGTCCTGCACATGGATTTCCACTGTGGGAAGAGGAGGCTGGACTAGGCGGCCCCCTTTTGGCCTGATGCAGCCAGGCTTTTCTTAGGGAGGTCTAGTCTGATAGCAGAACCTCCGTGACCAGGGACAGTCTACCTGTGGATACCAGAGGATGGGGAACAGATGGAAGGTTGCTGCTGTCGGGCTCAGGTTGTGCTCTGGGGCTTCCCTTAGGGGCCTCTGATTGGCTGCCGTGAGGACAGGAGGCCGGGATAGATGGGATGCTGATGCAGAAGCCAGGCACTTTCTTACATTTTTAGGACCTCAATCTGTTGGCAATCACCACCTGAGCTTCCTGATAGAAGGAACAGGGCCAGATTTAGGTTTGATGAGGCCCTAAGCTATGGAAGGTAATGGGGCCCTTTATATGTCTGGCTGTCCTTTATCAACAACAAATTGTTGCTGTTTTTTGTGTTGAATATATGCTATATACATGGTAATTTATGGACCTAATAGGTATCTAAAGCCATTTGCACATAACAAATAGGAGCCTACACAACACACAACACTGTATGTAGGTTTTATTTTATTTTTATTATCTTATATTTTGGAAATGCATATCCAGTGGTTTTTTTCCTTTATTTTTTTTTGGGGGGGGGCCCAAGAGAGTGGGGCCCTAAGCTATAGCTTGTTTAGCTTATAGGTAAATCCGGCACTGAGAAGGAAGGGTGTTTGAAACCCACGGGGAGAGCCAGGGGAAGCAGGCCCCGTGAGCCAGAGTGAGTCCCAATGCTTAGGTGATATATAAATATTGCAAATAAAATAACTAACGGCAAAAGCGTCTGGGTGGTTTGCAAAGGGGAAAATTAAAAACGTAAAATACAATAGAAAACTTAGCTCTAACACAGAATAAAACCAGTGACAGTGAAGGGCAACGAATTTAAAAAGCAGTGGAAAATATTTACGACTGGTGAAGTCTTCACCTGACCCCTATGAAGGTCGTTGTAGAGGCACTTGGAAGACTCCCTGGGGCTGCCAAGACCAAAAAGCGTCTGTCTCTAGTAGCTGACCTCATAACATCTTATATTTGTAGAGTTGGAAGCAACCCCCTGCAATTCAATTGTTTCCCTTCGTTCTGCCTTGCCTTCGAACGCGACACAATTGGCAGAAGAGAAACTCGCAGGCACGGGACGTGCATGCTCATAGCATTGGGTAGGGGCATATTTCAAATTAAAAACGAATTAATTTGTTTCGAAAGAGCTGCCTGCGCGTCGCCAGCACCAAATGGAAGTCCAGCAAGGGAAGTGATGGTTTTCAAGTGAATTCCAGAGGACTGGGCCTGCGCCTTTTCCTTTCTGCACATTTTCGCACTGAGCATTGGTCCATGGCAAAAAGGAACCCCAGACGGCGCATATGCTTTTGCCATGTTGCAAACACGGAATCCACTCCTTCATTCCACCCCCAGCCCTGATTTGGTACATCGTTCCTCCTGGTCCTTGCTGAAGAACGCTTCTTGGGGGGAAGAGAGACCTATATAAGCAAATCATCTTCTTCCTGCCGGTTTGTGTGAACGGGGTTGCCCAACCGTTTCCCTCATCAAGGCGCACATGGCTTGCTTTGTCAGCCCTCCGTCATTGTGCAATGCCAGCCAGTCCCAGTGCCCAGCACACCCACCTGCAAGACATGCCTTTTCTAGCTTTTGGTGATTCACTGGGGCTCCCATTCGGCAGCCCAGGCAAAACAGATTCAGGCAGGCAGCCTGCTCAGAGGCCTCTCTGCTGTTTCCTGTTTGTTCTTAACCTGAGGTACCACTTTAGCTAATGGGGCCTCCTGCTGCCGCCACGCCGCCGGAGCACAATGTCTGTTCTCATCCTGAAGCAAAGTTCTTAACCCGAGGTACTATTTCTGGGTTAGCGGAGTCTGTAACCTGAAGCGTATGTAACCTGAAGTGTCTGTAACCTGAGGTATCACTGTACAGTGGTACCTCGGTTTAAGAACAGTCTAGTTTAAGAACGATTTGGTTTGCAAACTCCACAAAACTGGAAGTAGTGTCCCGGTTTGCAAACTTTACCTCGGTCTAAGAATGAAAGCCGTTTAAGAACGGTTTCGGTTTAAGAACGGACCTCCGGAACGGATTAAGTTCGTAAACCAAGGTACCACTGTACTGCCCTTTATCCAAGGACCACAGGGTGGTTTATAAAATGAAAATACAACACATACCATAGTAACAAACAAAAGCTATGCCAGACACACACAGAGATGGTTTAATTAGCCAAAGGCCTGGGAGAAAAGGGGTGTTTTTGCCTGGCAGCTAGAGATGGCTCTGTGCCTCCATGCTCAGAGGCAGTGATGCATCTGAATACCAGATGGCGGGCACAACAGGAGGGGAGAGAGCTTTGGTGCACGGGAATTATAGAGCGGGGACACCGGGGGGTCATTTAGTCTAGCCCCCTGCAATGCAGCAACCACAACAAAGGAAATCCTGACAGACGGCCACCCGGCCTCTTTAAAAACCTCCAACGAAGGAGTCTGCCGCCTTCTGAGGTGGCCCATTCCGCTGGTGGACAGTTCTTATCAGCAAGAAGTTCTCCCTAAGGTTGAGTCAGATCTCCTTTGATTCATCGGTTCGCTGGAGGTCTTTAAAGAGAGCTTAGGTGGCCATTTGTCAAGGATTCATTAGCTGGAATTGCTGTGTTGCAATTCTACGATAGGCAGCGATAAGACCTGTGAGAGTTAGCTCACTCATACGCCCATTTCACAGATAGGGATTGGCGAGGCCAAGATGGAGAGACGTCTAGCCGTGCCCGAGACCACACATGGAGGTTTTGTGGTTCAAGGTCAGCAACCTTTTTCAGCCGTGGGCCGGTCCACCGTCCCTCAGACCATGTGGTGGGCCGGACCATATTTTTTTGGGGGGGAGAAAGAATTCCTTTGCCCCACAAATAACCCAGAGATGCATTTTAAAGAAAAGGACACATTCTATTCATGTAAAAACACACTGATTCCCGGACTGTCCGTGGGCCGGATTGAGAAGGCCGCATCCAGCCCACTGGCCTTAGGTTGCCTACCCCTGTTCAAGGGGACGCGGTGTCAGCCCCAGGTCAAATCGGTTCTTGCGAAAGTCAGGCTGTCTCGCTCCGCAGCTGCACATTTTCCACGATGCCTGCAAAGGCTGCATTTCTGCACACAGAAAGATGGGAACTCGCCCAAATGGTCTTGTGATGGCCCTAACCCCCTGAAGTTTATCCAGGTAGCTATCTTATTCTTCCCCAAGACTCCTTTCAGAGCAAGACCCAAGCAAGAGTCTTTCAAGGAGGGCATTGCTCAGTGGGACCCCCCCCCTTTCCCTCCAACTATTCATTCATTTGAGGTTTTTAAACAAAGGTCAGATGGCCATGATCCAGGAGGCGCCTCTTATGGAGGTCTAGTGCTTTTTTGCTTTTTTCCTGGGGGTACGCATACCCCCCAACATTTTGTGCGTTCAACTTTGGCCTCATTGAAGGGCAGCATTTCAATATGAGTAGGAAAATGAGAGTACCCCTAAACATTCTTCTTTAGAAAAAAAAGCACTGTGGAGGTCTATTGTGACAGCAGAACCTCCAAGCGCAGCAGCAGTCTACCTCCCAATACCAGGCAATGGGGAACAACTGGAGACTTGATGTTGCACTCAGATCCCATTTGCAGAATTCTCTTTGGGGCATGAGGTTGACCACTGCGAGAACAGGATGCTGCACTAGGCAGGCCACCATAATAATAATAATAATTTATTATTTGTACCCCGCCCATCTGGCTGGGTTTCCCCAGCCACTCTGGGCGGTTTCCCACAGAATATTAAAATACAATAACCTATCAAACATCAAAAGCTTCCCTAAACAAGGCTGCCTTCAGATGTCTTCTGAAAGTCAGATAGTTGTTTATTTCCTTGACATCTGGTGGGAGGGCGTTCCACAGGGCGGGCGCCACCACCGAGAAGGCCCTCTGCCTGGTTCCCTGTAGCTTTGCTTCTCGCAGCGAGGGAACCGCCAGAAGGCCCTTGGAGCTGGACCTCAGTGTCCGGGCTGAACAATGGGGGTGGAGACGCTCCTTCAGGTATACTGGACTGAGGCCATTTAGAGAAGAAGAAGAGTTTGGATTTGATATCCCGCCTTTCACTCCCCTTCAATCTCCTTTCCCTTCCTCCCCCACAACAAACACTCTGTGAGGTGAGTGGGGCTGAGAGACTTCAAAGGAAGTGTGACTGGCCCAAGGTCACCCAGCAGCTGCAGGTGGAGGAGCGGAGACGCGAACCCGGTTCCCCAGATTACGAGACTACCGCTCTTAAACCACTACACCACACTGGCTCTCAAGGGCTTTAAAGGTGAGCACCAACACTTTGAATTGTGCTTGGGTTCATCCAGCTGTTTCGGGGATCATGTGACATTCTTATATATGTCTCTGTGTGTTCGTGTACATATAGAAACCTGGGAGTTTCAAAGGGCTGCCGTGTCACCTGCTACGGACTTCATGCAGCCTTGGCTCCGCCCACCTTTGCCTCTGGCTCCGCCCCACCAGCATGTGGCCCTGAGGAGGTTTCTGATGAGGGAATGTGGACCTCCAGCTGGAAAGGGCTCCCCCTGCCTGCTGCAGAGGGAAGAGATTTGCCCCACTGCCCTGATTTTGTCCTTTGGGCCTCCACACTCGCAGGTAGTCTACCTCTGAAAACCAGGCAATGGGGAAGAACTGGAGAGCTTCATGGCTGAGTGAGAGGCTGGGGGTAGGATTTGAACCTCGGTCTCTCCCAGGTCCCAGGTCCTCACACTCTAACCACGGCACCACACATCCTCTAGAGACGTCCTCAAATAAAGGAGAGTGAAAAACAGGCAAAGAAAACACCAGCTCGTTTATTTTTGATCACTCGTTTACTTTCGAGTGTTTGGAGAGGGATGTTTGTGCCACTGCTGGGCGATTTATCATTTTTACAGTTTTACAGGAGAGCAAACATTTGTTCCGGGGAAAGTTTGCTTTTTTTTCAAAGTCCTTTCCCGTCCCACCCGGAAAAAGCACACCCCATAATCTGTAAGTGGAAACGCAAAACGGTTTTGAAACAATTCCCCTTTCGCCCAAGGATGAGGTGCATCTGTGATGCCTTCTAGATATTTGTGGGCTGCACATCCCTAACCATTGGTCATGCTGGCTGATGGGAGCCCAGCCACGTCTGGAGACTGGCCGTAGATGACCAAGCAGCTCTGCCTTCTCCCTGTCATCCAAAAGCGATTCTCCATTTTCCACCCCCAAAGGGGACTTACTCCTTGCTTATTCTCCCTCTTGCTTTGAATAAAGCCAGTGGGGAAAACCTTTTAAATTTATGACCTCTCCTGCAAGCCTGAGCTCCTTCAGAGCCTTGGCCCGCCTGACCTTCTCCCTGCAAGAGTTGGTTACTCACTTATACCCTTCCTTCGTGGTTTGCCCTTTCTCCCATTTCTTATACGTGGCCCTTTAAAACCTCCACTCATCTGTAATCTCTTTTAGGCACCTCCGATTCCTACAAGGAAGACCTGACTATTATAAATCCTATTTTATTTTCCCTGGAATAATCACCCAATTCTCTTGGTCCAAATTCAGCATTGCAGACCACTCAGCGCTCTGGCAGCTCGCGTTGCATGTTCCTAGGAAATCTGATTCCGGTAGCTAAGCAAGAGGGGAACTGATCCAGTGGACATTGCTACCGTGTCCCCAAGGAGGAATCCTAACGTCTACCGTGTCACATCCGGAACTTGATTCCCAGTGACTGAATCGGAGAACTACTTGGAGGGGACCCCAAAGGACATCTAGCCCAACCCGCTGCGATGCAGGAATCGCAGCTAAATCGTTGCATTCAAATATTATTAACACAGCAGCTGGGTCATGCGAACGCGCACACCCACAACTCAAAAGAGACACACACACAAAAGAAAATCAAAACACTTCTTAAGAGTGTTTTGCCAGGTGATGCTAAAAATCTATCTCCCCAAAGCCCAATCAATGAAAAGCTTCTGTGCATTTAATATGTCCGTTTTGTGGCTCTGTGGAAGTCTTGCGGCACCTGAAGAGACTTATTATTATTATTATTACAGGAGCTTTTGTGGGCGCCTTCCATCGGACGGAGTGGGAGGACGTGAGCAGAGTGAGATGAATGAAGTAGGGACACAGAGCGCTGCTTCAGCCGATCCCTCCTGTCCGACCAGCGAGGCTGCAATTTGGAGTGTTCCCCCACTCCTTTGGGAGGCTGGGGTCCCACCTGGCTGCCCCCAGGCAGAGAGCTTTTCAGACTCCTCCTCTCCCTCCCAGCCTCGTGTCTTAAAAGCACTTCTCACCAAGAGGCCTGGCTGTTCACCAGGGGAGTCAGTGGTTCGAGCCCACCCAGAGACGGCTGCGGGCAGGATCCCTACACTGCTGGGAGCTGGATGAGACGACCTTTGGGTCCTTCCCAACCTACAATTCCATTATTCTACATAGCTTTCCATTTGTGAAAAAGGTGACCAGAAGGGCACAGAATGGAGAATGCAGCTGTTTCTGTAAGAAATCCTGCAGACCCCCTTTTTTCTCTAGAAATCCCAGAAACCAGGCAGGAGGGGGGATATCATGAGCCTCTTGCCAGGCCCATCTAGCTCAGTATTGCCTGCACTGACTGGCAGCAGCAGCAGCTCTCCAGGGTTCCAGACAGGCCTGCTGGGAGATGCCCATAGAATTGAACCCAGGACCTTCTGCATCCAAAGCAGGCACTCGACCACTAGAGCCCTTCTTTTAAAAATAAAGATTCCAGTCCTCATGGTTGTGAGTGAACTTAGGAACATGAGCAGCCGCCCGTTTGCCGAGTCAGACTGCTGGTCAGTATTGCCCCCACTGACAGGCAGCTATGGCTCTGCAGGAGTTCAGGCAGGTCTCATCCTGGGACTTTGAACCCAGGACTTTTGTGCTGCTCCTGCCACCCAAAGAAAAGAGGTGGGGAGGAAAGAACTCTGCCCAGTGTGAATCATTTTCCTCCGACGACAGAGAATCGTGCTGCTTACAACACAGCCAACCTATTTTTTAATGCTATAAAAAAAATAAACCGCGGCAATTCTGCAGCCGAGGAGAACTGCCGGCAGAGCCATGGCCTCTGCGTAGAGAAGCAGTCCCCGTATGGCGCCTCTGGCTTGCCCCATCCTTGCCGAAGACAGGGTCTTTTGCGTGCCTCCGTTCGGCTGCAAGGTAATTCCTCCAATCTTCCATAAGGAGATTGTCTTTTTCTTAAGTGACAGGTGCCAAGAAGGATCACCCTTGAGCGCTTAAAACTCTGGCACACTTATCATGCCCGCAAGCTGCAAGATGCTGTCGTGATCATTGCTAATGGCAAACCGCTTGGGTTGAGCCCCAGAAACAGGTTCTGCCATCTCTTCTTCTGCATTGTCATTTTGACATTTCAGTTAGGGCAGAACGGAAATAAAACAAGAGCACCGTCTCAGCTCATGTTCTGCCCCTGGTCCAGACTTAGGCTTGGAAATAGAAAAATGGAATTCATGTGACTGGTCAAAAACTCAACCAAGAGATGATATGCACACACACACACACACAGAGAGAGAGAGAGAGAGAGAGAGAGAGAGAGAGAGAGAGAGAGCTTTCCCACCCACCTCCTGCTCTGGACTGCCAAACCCCCCTCAGTTGACACCCCCCCCTTGGCCCAGTGATGCCTGCATAACTTTCAGGAGACCACAACGCAAAGATCCACAAGACTCTCTGCCTTTTCCGTTTGGACTTCTTGCTTCAACAAGGCTGCGTCCTGAGAGTGAGTGAGAAACAGGACTTAATCTGCTGTCTGGTAAAGTCCCCCTTTTCGGAGGCCGGCACACGGCTGTTTCGATTAACTCACGCTTAGTATTTAAAGAGCCCCCTACAGAATGGCCAACACACCCACCCAAACCCCAGTGGCCTGGAGGCTCCACGATTACACCAGGAATAAAGGGGACTCCTTGTCTCCCACCCAAAGGCTGCTTGCATTTTCGACTTCTGAGCCCCCCGCCTTCCTCTCCTTGGACGTTCTGGAGAGTCACATGCCCACAGAGAGCTTGGGCCCCACACAGGCACCCCAGCACCCTAAGTCGCTTCCGACCCCTGACCTTTGGGCTTGCGCATCTTCAGAGAAGGGATGTTTCCCAGGTGATTCACACGGAGAGGAAGCCAAAAGAAATAAATAAGTCACACGCACACAGAGAGAGAGAGAGTGCTTAAAATAAGAAAATCCCATTCCCCAAATCCCCATTAACAGGGCAGGCTACTCTCCCCCCAAAAAGCCCCCCTGGCTGGAACGTCTATAGGATTCTGGTCTGAGTGGCTCTCCTTTAAGAAAGAAGTTGGGTTTGGGGTAAGGAGTTGGGGTTCAGTCGGCCAGTTCTGTATGGGAAGGAAGAGGTGTCTGCGGAAGGGGCTGAGGACGAGGGGAGACCCATGAAAGGGCTGGAGACCCCCAACTCTCCAGGATTTGCACGGAAGATGGAAGAGGCCTGGCAGAAGAGGAATACCCCGTCTGGTCTAATATACCCACAGCTATCTTTCTAAGTGCAAATGACATCAGGCATTGGAATGCAGAGATTTGCTGGGCTTGGGGTGGGGAAGTATGACAATGGGAGCAATAGATCCCAGCGGCCCGTTTCTGTGACAAGCCTCCAGGACCCCCCCAAGAGAGATGGCAAAGGGTGGGGCACCCAGGAGACCCTGGGATTGGCCTGAATGAGGTGATCTGGGATCTGGGCTCCCACCCAGCCTGAGACGCACAGTTGCCGCCCTTTGCAAGTGCCAGAGGCTCCCACAGCAAGACCCCTCTTCAAAAAAAAAACCCACACACCTATCTAAACGTTGTCCTGATTTGCTTCCGCTTCTCAGAACGCTGAAGGGGCAAAGGAAATGGGAACAGGAGGTTAGGACTCTGCCCCGAGGACCACACAGGTCCTTCGTCCGACCAGAGGGAAGGTGCACGTCTCAGAGTTCGCATCCGCCTGCCACCGGTTCCGAGAAAAAGGGGGTCATCGAGGACGCCACTCTCTTGGAGAGAGCGTCTGGGGTGGGTTTTCCACACAAAAAACCAAAACCAAACCCCTGGGCCAAAGACAGAGAGAGAGAGAGAGAGAGAGAGAGAGAGAGATGGAGAGAGAGACACCATAGCCGGTATGAAACGCCGCAGACCTCGTTGGCCTGGAGTTAACTACGTGGAGCTATTTCAAGCCACAACTACGGGGTTACTCAGTGGTGTGAAGAGGCTCTCCCTGGGAGAGGGGGTGGGCAGGGGGGGTTGCCTCGACAGCTCAAGGAACAGTTAACGACTTCAGCTAATTTTAGTCCCGAAACTCCAGCTCCTGGCAGGGTCCTCGGATCCTGGCTCTCCATGCCAACGCCGGCCGGCGGAAACCCGAACCCATTTCTACAGGAATTTGCGGGGAAGGCGCCTGGCGGTTCCGCGTCAGGGTCCCCCGCTGTAGGAATAATCCGCTTTGTTGTGCATGACCAGCTTGCTATCCACAAAGTAGAAACTGTCTGACTGGGTCTCGTAGGGGTGCAGGATCATCTCCTGAACTGCAAAGGAGGAAGGGGAAAGAAAGAGGCTCACAGCCGGCAGCCTGGCTATAGGGTGGACTGCAACGCCCCAAACAAAGATGCCCAGCCCAGGGGGAGTCTCTTCTCTAGGTCCCACCACCCTCACAGGCCCACTGGACGTGGGGAAGGCTTCTCCCAACCTTTGGAACTCCCTGCCAAGAGAAACCAGATTCGCCACTTCCTTTGCCAGCAGGAGAAGATCGCTCTATTCCAACAGGCTTTTGGGGACTGACTGGCTGTTGTTGTTGTTTTGGTTTGTTTTTTTAAGGAAAGGGCTTTTAAACAGCCCTGTGCTGCTTATATTACCCATATTTTAATAAATCAGTTTTGTATATTGTTTCATTTCTGTTAGAGTTTGATTAATGATTCTGTATGCTTTTAGCTTTTTGTGTCGCTGTTGTTTTAATTTGCAGAAGCCTTGGGCAAAAGGTGGGATATTATTATTATTATTATAATAATAAATGATTTGCCAATAGTGACCTTGCCCAAAATGGAGCAGGTTGGTACAATCAGACGCCATTTTGAATCAAGATGGCGGAAGGAAGCTGGTCTTTGTGAGTTTTTAGCATTCCCAAGCAATGCCTGCTGGGAGGTGGGGTCCAACGACTTCCGGAGGTCGCCCCCCCCGGCTCCTGCTGCCCTACTGCCCCCCCCCCATTGGCAGCCGCTTACTGAGGTCTTCGGAGAGCTGGGGGAACTCGTAGATGTGCTCGCAGGTGTTCTTGCTGCTGGGGATGCAGAAGCCGAACTCAAAATCGAAGCTCTTCAGCAGCTGGTCCCGGAAGTAATGCCTCTCGATCATGCGGAAGTTATTGATGGGCTTGTCGCCCACGGTGAACTCCACCCTGAGAGAGGGGGGAGAGAAAGCTGAGGTCCCTGCAAAACGTAGCGGCGGAAGGCAGACTTTTCAAAACAGCGGAGTCATAAAACTATCAGAACAGAACGTTAGCAGACTGTGATTCCTGCCCTGAAGCGGGGTGGACTAGATGAAACCTTAAGGGCCCCTTTCAACAATTATATGATTCTGTGAAAAAGTGGGAGACAATTTCTCAGCGAGGAGTCACTTTTTTTTACTCTCAAAGAGAGGGGAGGTACATAGCTCAGTGGCAGAGCAGCTGTCTTGCTTGCAGAAGGCCCCGGGTTCATTCCCCAATGTTGGACAGAGCAAGACTCTTGCCTGAAACCCTGGAGAGTGGCTGCCAGTCAGTGTAGGCATCACTGAGCTAGGCAGACCAACGCTCTGACTCAGTCGAAGGCAACTTCCTGCGACCCTTAAACCAGCTCTGAACTCAGAACCATGAGGACTAGAATATTGATCTTTCAGAGAAGGGCTTTCGCGAAGTGGCAGAGCCCCTGGCACAGTTCATGGGTACAGAACACCTGCTTGGCATGCAGAAGGCCCCAGGTGGCATCTCCCATTAGGGCTGGGCATATCCCTGGTCTGAAACACTAAGAGAGCTGCTGCCAGCCTGTGTGGACCAGCCTTCCCCAGCCGGGTGCCATCCAGATGTTGCAGACTATAATTTCCATCAGCCCCAGGCAGCATTTGGACCCTGGGCTGGAGGCTGCCCCTCCCTGGCCTATAAGGTGCATTTATTCAAACAGACATGGAACAGGGAAGGTTTCTGCAGCCAAGCGAAGGCCTTGCCAGGTCACTTACGTGGCTCCGACCTGACGCAGCCGCAGAAACGCCGGTGTGAATTGGTAGCGCACGAAGCGCCCGGCGTTGGGGTCGACATCCTTCTTGTCACTGTGCTCTCGCTCTGGAAGGAGAAGAGAGAGGAAATGAAAGATACAGGGCAGGTATCCCAATGTAAGAAGAGCCTGCTGGCCCGTCTAGTCCAGCACCCAGTTCCCTCCCACAGAATCATGAGGACCAGGAACTTGTCTCTCGAAAGCAAAAGCGAGTTCTCCGAAGAGGAGTTCTCGGAGGAGATGGAGGGGAGAGTCTGGCTGGACCAAGCCAAGGGGGTCCATCACAGCCTTTCTCCCCCTGTGGGTCCCCAGATGTTGTTGAACTACAACTCCCATCACCCCTAGCTAGCAAGGCCAGAGCTCAGGGATGATGGGAGTTGTAGTCCAACAACATCTGGGGACCCACAGGTTGAGAACTGCTGCCTTAGATACGCTGTCCTCCTAAACCACACCTGGACCACCAATGGCAGCTGTGAAGGAGATCCAGGGATTGCTTCCTCATGAGGAAACCCCCTGAATCCCGAGGAACACAGTGGCTCGGAGACCACAGACACGTGTTCCGAACCTGGATCTTTTGGTACCGCCGTTCTTGAAGAAAAGGCGGGTGCTGATCCTTCTCTAATGTATCTAAGGGTCTCACACCAGAGGGCTCTTCAAGGGGATCCTGTCTCCTGTGGCAGGGAGTTCCATGGTTTAAAAACAGCAAAAAGCACTAAAACAAAATGCTAGAAATCTGTTCCAAAGCGAGGAAGCACCCAGACCTCTGGGAAGGGGTGTGGCTCAGTGGAAGAGCCCCTGCTTGGCATGCAGAAGGTCCCAAGCTCGATCCCTGGTAGGGTGGGGAATGACATCCAGCCCGAAACTCTGTAGAACCCTTGCCACTGAGCAGACACAGTACGAGGCTCCTGTTTAAAGCAGGACCTTGAGGACTAGAGCCTTGCAACAGCTTTGCATGCAGAAGGTCCCGGGTTCACACCCCAGGGGCATCTCAAGGTAAGTCTGGGGGGAAAGCCTGTCTGCCTGAATCCCTGGAGAGCTGCTGCCGGCCAGTGCAGACAATACTGAGGCAGATGGACCAATGGTCAGGTTCGGTTGTAAGGCAGCTTCCTGTCTGAAGCAGTCCCTTCCATCAGGATAACGCGGACTAGGAACTTACCTGAAGCCGGCGGCTTGGTGATTTCAAAGAGCACCGTGCCCGACTCCATGTCTCGGATTTTGAACCGGGTGAAATCTATCTTGTAGACGTTCTCCTCCGGGGTGCAGAGGTAGTCTGCAGGAGAGAAGGGGCGTCGCAGTTAGGAGGGCAGGCAGGCCAAAGGGTTCAGGCCTGCCCCATAGGCAGGTGCAGGGTTCAAAAGCTGCTCCACTTTCCTTTTCGGGAGGGGGGGAGAAATTTGGTGCAGGTCAGATTTCACTGATTTGTTTTTTAAAAGTGCATATATAAATTGAGTACAGTAGGAAAAATGTATGTTGCTGATGAATTCCCACAAGGGAATAATAGTAATTGTATAATAGTACAATTGAATAATAGTAATAATAATAGTAATTGCAAATTGATAGATGCTTTGTTTGCAATTCCTGCGTTGCAGGGAGTTGGAATGGATGACCTTCGGGGGTCCCTTCCGACTCTCCCATTCTACGACGTTTAAATGTGGTGAGCCGGGTGAGAAATGAGAAAAGGAGAGACATCAGAATTGCCAGATTCGCTCATCTCTCCTTCCTCTTGCTGTGGGGTCTATGCAGAGAATAGGCCTGCGACTGAACGCAACCTAAATCCACATCAACAGGTGGAAACAGGCTTGGTGTTGTGGCTTTGCGTACACCATAATCCTGCAAAAACTGAATTTTAAGGGGTTTATTTCAAAGCAAGTTTCTAGACCTTATGACTGGAAGCAGACACCAGAAACATGCAGCCAACGCCATCTGCTTGTAACCAGAGGAGGAAGGTGAATACAATTCTTCCCTCCTAACTATTTGAAGAGCAACTGTAATCAACAAATTACGCTAGTAGGACTACAAGAAGTTTTGTAAGGAGGAATATATGAAACATTGCAAAGAAGAGAAAGCAGAGAGACATTAGTTATGATACTTAAATGTAATAGTGAAAGTACGGAATGTAAATTAAGTGGGAAAGATTGGAAAATTTTCAGATGTGATTGATGGAAGTAAAAAAAAATTGTATACGATATAAAAGTATGTTTAATGATTGCTGAAAATCATATGTTAAAAAACTAATAAGAATACAATCCTTTCCTCCTGTCCCTATTCCGCAAGCAGAATAAAAAGCGTTCAAATTTCCCACGCAGGTTGCAGAATCCAGCTAATTTATTTCTAGAACTGCTTTAAGGCAGCTTCTAAATTATTATTATTATTTTGTCAGAGTCCTGAAGCGGCAACAACCGCCGTCAAATTGTAAATTCTTTAACGCAGGATTTTTGTTTTATTTTATTTTTGTATCAAAGGAAGCCTGGTGCTTTCCCTCTCCCAGGCTGGCATTCGGTGCCTCTGCGGCTGCAGCCTTGCCAACCCTAAGAGGCTTTGCCCTCTGACAGAACAAAAAGGATAAGCTCCTTTGCAGCCGCTAAGCCCAATACACCTAAATAGAGGAGGCGGATCTGGGCCCCCGCTCCTCCCCGACAGAGAGGCGCTCTCCCAGGGAACCCCGGGAAATCTGGGCCCACAGTGAGACGCGTTAAATAAGTTGGAGTTCTTATTATTAAATATACCAGGAAAAAAGCACACCAAGAACTCAGGCCAATGCTCGTTTCCACAGTGGGAGTGGTCCCTACTCACAAATCAATAGTCAATTTTAACAAAAACTGATCCATTCAAAAGTATGTATTCTGACAAGCATTACAAACTCTAGCAGAGATTACAAACTCAAACTCATAAAGATATTTATAACATAATAATTCGTTTCAATCCTTGAGCAAGTCTGAAGTCAAATTATGAATCAGAAACCAGTAAATTCATGTTAGTACATAGTCAGATTCGACGCGAGATGCAGCGGCAAGAAAAGCCAATTCTAAGCTGCATCCACAGAAATCTAGTATCTTTTATTCCTCTTCCTTCCCTCCTTCTCCCCTTTTTATGAAGATTTCCCGCTCTGGGATCCCACAGTTAATTCTCCCCTGGTCTCCTCGCTGGCCCAAATAGGACTAATTTAGCCAGCTAGCCCTGGTGATCACCTAATGTTTATTGGATGGATTTCCCCCCTAAACTGATTTTTGAATTCTGAATTTATTGTTTTTCATGTTTTCATGTTTTATACTGTATTTTAAGCTGGTTTTTTTTTGTTTGTTTGTTTTTTGTCCGACTCAACATCAGGAAGAACCTTCTGACAGCAAGAGCTGTTCGGTGGTGGAACAGACTCTCTCTGGAAGTTGTGAACTCTCCATCCTCGGAGGTTTTTAAGCAGAGATTGGATGGTCATCTGTCCTGGATGCTTCAGCTGAGATTCCTGCATTGCAGGAAGGGTTGGGCTGGATGACCCTCAGGGTCCCTTCCAACAGTTCTCTGATTCCATGAGTCTACAATCACAAAAATCAAGTCGGTCCTAAAATATGTACCCTGAATGTTGCGAGCCTGAGTAGAAAGGCATTCAGCACTCAATGGAAGCAGGACAATGAAGGTGGCAGGTGCACCTCTTTGGGGTGAGAGTTGCCTAGCTTAGGGGCCACCACAGAGAAGGCCCTCTTTCCCTCAGCCGCTGAGCATCCGCAGGGGGAGAAACTACCAAGAAGGCACTGCCTGCCGATCTCAACACTCAATGGGGACTGTGGGGAAGGAGGCAGCCTTCCCTCTATGTGGGGCCTGAGTTGTTCAGGTCTTTAAAAACTCATGTGAGTTAGTGGCACAATTTATCATAGAGTTGTAGAGTTCGAAGGGACCCCAGGGTCATCTAGTCCAACCCACTGCAATGTAGGTATCTCAGCTAAAGCGTCCAGGACAGATGACCATCCAATCTCTGCTTAAAAACCTACGAGGAGGGAGAGTCCACCACCTTCTGAAGGGAGGCTGTTCCACCGCCGAACAGCTCTTATTGTCAGAAAGTTCTTCCTGATGTTGAGTCGGAATCTCCTTTCTTGGAACTTGGAGCCACGGGTTCGAGTCCTACCCTTCAGAGGAGAAAACAAGGTTGCTACATCTTCTATGTGAGATATTTGAATATCCTGAAGATATTTGAAGATGGCTATCCTTTCTCCTCTCAATCTCCTCTTATCCAGGCTAAACATACCCAGCTCCCTCAACCACTCCTCATAAGGCTTGGTTTCTATGTCCTTGGTCATCCTGGTCGCTCTGCCCACCTTCCAGCTTGTCAACATCCTTCTTAAATTGGGGTGCCCCAGGACTCCACGCAGAGTCTGAAGAAGGTAGCATTTATTTTTTATTTAATAAAATTCTTACCAGTTGATGGCAAAAACTTCAGAGTGGTTTACAAGATGACAAAACAAGAAAACCAAGAAAGATTTGCAAGCCTACTTCAAAGCATACAAAAGGTAAAATACTCAAACAGGTTAGAATTACCTTAACTTCCTAAGCATATGGGCAGGTTTGCCCAAACAAAATTGTTCTTAGCAAGTGCTTGATATCAAGAGGCAGGGAGTTCCAAGGTGCAAACGCTGCCACGCTAAGCAGCCGAGTTCTTACAAGGGCAGAACGGGTGTGACCTGGCAGCGCCAACTTCCCCGATCAGAGTGATCAAATGGGCTCAAGTCAATCTCATAGGTAAACAAGGCAAGTGCTTTCAGATTGTTTGGGGTATTGCGTTTTAAAGTTGCAACCTGTGCTCTGTGACATTACAGCAATAAATCAATAATAGCATTTTGCCTTTTTATTGTTATTGCTGCTAACAGAGAGTAGCTCCCCTCCTGCCTTTTGCCCAGAGGCCGCGGCACTCGCTCGCCCTAAGCCTCTCAGAGCGGCCGCCCACCCGGCCCCCGCGCCCTAAAAGGATTCTAATTCCGGACGGCTAACGAGGTTAGCCGCCCTCATCGGCAAATGGACCATCTGGGCAGATCCCAGATTGGCCGGATCGGATGCAGCGAATCAGCAGGGGGCGGTCAGCTGCGAGGGGGCGGCTGCGCGAGGGTATTTCATGGAGGCAGCCCAAGCGCCCCAGATGGTACTCTGCACAATTGATTGTTATTATTTATTATTTATCTATTTATTGCACATGTATACTGCCTTGTCCCCACAGGTCTCGGGGCATATCATAAAATATAAAGTATAAATTTGCATTATTTACACCCGGCCCATCTGGCTGGGTTTCCTCAGCCACTCTGGGCGTCTTCCAGCAGAATATAAAAACATAATAAAGCGTCAATAGTTAAAAATCACAATATAAAATCACACAATACATAATAAAAACAAGAACAACCCAATAATCCTCCCCTTCTACAACACAGTTTAAACAGGGCATCGGATGTCAATCAGCCAAGGTTATGAATGAATGAATTTTATTATTTCGGTCACAGACCAGTCCATATACAATTTCAAGGAAATCATAAAACACAGTAGGGATACATTTGAATTTGCAATTAGGTATCACATACAATACACATATAGCAAGTTTAAAAATATATATAAATTAAAACGTAGTCACTAATATATAACCTAAAATTATCATTTAAGGCCTTAATCATTATGATAGCACAGCTTGTTCCCTAAGTTTTATGGCAATCGCACAGAATTTAGCTACCCTTAACGTGATCTCAGGATCCTTGTCCTCTACAGGGATTTTAGACATTGAAGTTCAGATTCATTTGGAAATTTTTGCATAGCAGGGGTAATAAATACCGAGCGTACATCCCCGTAGAAACGGTAGCATAACAAGGCTTGAGAGACAGTTTCTACCTCCACCAAGCTGCAGAGGTCCAAAGTTAATATAACTTGCAGATCTATGGAAGCCCTTAAAAGGATATAGGAAACAGATACCGGCACACAATTTTTTCCCGGAGGTTGGAATGAAATATAGGAATTCCAACCCTTGAAATCTGTATCTAGTTTCCTTAGGGAAAATGACGCACAAGGAAGGCATCCTCCTCATTTCCAAGGGTCAAAAATGCTTCTTTCCATATCTCCCCATTGTTGGAGGGGTTGTGATAAACCCAGCGTGTTATCATTTATGGTGGCAATGAAAAGGTTTTTTAAATTTAATCTTGACAGAAAGGATAAATATTACAAAAGAAACAAGTTGCGCACAAACATACGTTTAAAGAAGACAGAAAAACATTTAATATATGGGAAATAACAGTGTACAGCTGAAAA